TCCACTGAGCCATCTAGCTACCCTAATTTATAACACTAGTCATGTCACAAGTAGTGTTATAGTAGTTACAACTACTCATAGTAGCTATATTAGTTTATCCTGTTTTAAGTCTCTGCCAATGTGTGCTTGTGAGTCATTTACAGTCAGCATTTATTTTGTGTGGAGGAAATAAAATAACTGTCCTATAAGTGAATCATATTGTACATTGAGTGCTTTTCTACTACTCTCTTTGGGGAGACCCTAGACATGAACCAAACCTAAGTTTTAAGTAAATTTCCTCAGGAGTTCAGGACAGAGGTGTAAAATGCCAAGGAGTACAAGAAAGAGAACTTAATCCTTCTCTTTAGAGGCCTAGTGCCCCTAGGACTAAACTCAATCACCACATTCATGGGTTAAGAATAAGTGGAAGGCCATTATTAGAGAGGGAAAGAACACAGCATTCCATCCCCTTGGGCTCATCTTGCAATTCTTACTGGTAAGTTAGTATATTTAATTTATCAGGGAACTTCTTTGATAGCTAATTAGGAGTATAACTTCAATGGAATGAAAATTTTGTTTGAGCAGCAGAAGAAGAAGATAGAGTAGCAAAGATATTGAGGAGGGAGAGATAATTTAGGAACATGAATTATTGCCCAGCTTTAGCAGAACCAGATCTTGTCCAGACTTTGTATCTTCCCAAGTGTCTACCATAGTGATCTATATATAGGAGGGCTGGGAGAAAACTAGGCATAGAAGAGGCCAGGCAGTATCCAAGAAGGATTACTGTGGAGAAGGAATCTCAAGATGATGAAGAGGGGCAAAGAAACAGAAAATGTGAAAGCATCAAAGACAAGTATTATCTATTTCACTATTTTGCTTATGATTAGCCATTATTCTGAATAAGAGAATAATAATAATAACTGGCATTTACATAGTGCTTTAAGGTTTGCAAAGCACTTTATAAATATTATCTTATTTTATCATTAAAACCCTGAAAAGTAGGTGCTATTATTGTTCCTATTTTATAGATGTGGATACTGAGGAAGACACAGATTAAGTTACTTGTCCAGGTTCACATAACTAGTTAAGTATCTGAGACCACATTTGAACTAAGATCTTCCCCACTCCAGCCCCAGTGTTCTATTCACCATATCACCTGAAAAAAGCTCAGAGTTTGACTATATTACAGTCTTGGACCATATATAAAAGGTTTCATATGGAAAAGTGCCTTTCCATGATTTCTGAAGAGATGATAAGACTGGATAAAAGCTAGATAGTCAATAACAACCACAATCTAATGGAATGGATGACAGATGGAACTTAATTCTTTGGAAGTTAATAGACATAAAATAAAATCTTATCTATCTAAGTAAGGTTGCAAATGGTTCTGTCAGTTGAGAGGTGATATAGGTTTCTGGAAAGTGCTTTCCAAACTTATGGTTTCTAAAAAAACAAATGCAATTTACCTGCTGCTTTTGGAGAACTGTGTAAGCAGGGCTTTAAAAATATATCAATAAATAAAAGATCTGTGAATGTCCTAGTGGGATAAGTTTCCCAATAATTGTAGATCTCAATACATCTGTGACTGGCTGGATATACCCTTGCTGCTACCTAAGGTTACACAGAGGTTAAAAATTTGAATCCAGTTCTTCCTGACTCAAAGTCTAGCATTCTACTCACAACATTGTGCTACCTAGAGGTTTTATAAATAGGAAAGCAGCTATCTCATTGTGATCTATTTGAAGTCAGACCATGATTCACTTAAGAATAAAAACGATAAATATTTCTTTTGAGGCAAGCACTAAAATGATCAGCATACACAGTTATTTGTTTCTATCACTACTTTTGACTAATAAAGCTTTGAATCAGTTGCCATAGCAAGGGACTGAAATACACTAATAGCTGCCTTACTCAGCCCCTTCTTAACCTACTTGCCAAGTAGAAAGATAGGGCAATCAAGAGCAACCTTGGTTTACAGGGGTGGGTAACCTGCAGCCTCGAGGACACATGTGGCCTTCTAGGTCCTTGGTTGCAGCCTTTTGACTGAGTCCAAATTTTACAGAACAAATCCTTTTATCAAGGGATTTTCTCTGTGAAGTCTGGATTGAGTCAAAGGGCCACACTTGAGGACCTAGAGGGCCACATGTGGCCTCGAGGCTGAAGGTTCCCCACCCTTGGTTTAGAGTATAAACTTGCTTGAAAAATATGGTGAAAGATTAGGAAGAACAGCACTTCATAAAGCAATGAGAAACAGTACAGGAACAAGTAAGTTCAAAGAATATTTTGTGAGAGACCCATTAGCGAAGTCATTCCTACAACAACAAGCACCTACTATGTGCCAGGCACTATGCTAAATGCTGGAGATACAAAGAAAGATAAAAGAGAGCCCTTGCTCCCAACGACATCAGTCGGAAGGGGAAGACAATGTGCAGATAACTATATACAATCAAACTAGGTACAGGAAAAATTAGAAATAATCAAGAGAAGAGCATTAGAATTAAGGGGGATCCAGAGAGGATTCCTGTAGAAGGTAGATTTTTACCTGGGACTTGATAGAAGTTAGGGAAGCCAGAAGGTAGAGATAAGGAGGAAGAGAATTTCAGGCATGGAGGAGCAGCCAGTGAAAATGCCTAGTGCTGGACACAGCATGGAGATCAGTGTCACTGAATCAAAGAGTATGTGGTGGGTCAGGGTGGGGAGAAGCGTAAGGTATGAGAAAACTGGAAATGGGGGAGGTATAAAAGTATATAAAGAGCTTTGTATAAAGAACTATAACAAGGTATAAAGATATTTGAATGCCAAACAGATGATTTTATATTTGATCCTAGTCAAGTTAGGGTAATTGGAATACTCCTTGCTCTCCATAAACCACTAGACTTATCAATTACGGTGGTGATGTGGTCAGACTTGTCCCTTAGAAAGATCAATTTGACAGCTGAGTGAAGGATGGACTGGACTGGAGAGAGAATGAGTCAGGGAAAACTACCAGAAAATTATTGCAATAGTCCAGACAAAAGTGCTAAAGGTCTCTAGTATCAGAGAAGAAAAGGGGGCATATTCAAGAGATGAGATATTATGAAGATAGAATCAACTGGCCTTGGCAAGAGATTGGATATGGGAAGTAAGGGAAAAATAATGATGGCCTAGTTTTCAAGACTGAGTGAGTAGGAGTTTGGTAGTTCCCTCAACAGTAATACAAAAGGAGCAGGTAGGTGGCATAGTGGATAGAGCACCGACCCTGGAGTCAGGAGGACCTGAGCTTAAATCCAGCTTCAGACACATAACACTCTAGCTGCGTGACTCTGGGCAAATCACTTAATCCCAATTGCCTCACCAAAAGGAAAAAAAAAAACCCAGCAATACTGAAGTTAGAAAAAGAGAAGAGATTGGAGGAGGGGATAATGAGTTCAGTTTTTTGATATTATGAGCTTAGACTATCTATAGGACATCTAGTATGAGATGTCCAATGGCCTTTAGAGATGTGAATCTAGAGGTTAGAAGTAAAGTTAGGGTTGGACAAATCAGTTCTTAGAACTATTGGCATAGAGATGATCACTGAATTCATGGGAGCTGATGAGATCAAGTGAAATCATATAGAGAAAGAAAAGAAGAAGTAGAAGGAAGACAACAAACAGACAAAAGATGAAAAAACTGCAAAAAATTCCATAACAAATTCTTAGAACTCTAATTTCACACTTCTGGAAGTGTCACTGAAGAAATCAAAAGTGGGAAAAGCAGCTGGACTACAAAGGGACTAGAGACAGAACAATTTTGAGCATCCTGAAGGACTGGTTTTCAAGGTATCTGAAGGAGGATACGATATCAAAGACACGGAAAAAAAAAAATCTCAGACTCTATTATTACCCCCCCAAAAAAAAAAAATAACCAGCAGAATGTCAATAACTACAAACCCATATGCTTACTTTCCCATTTATATGAAATTTTGTGAAAATAATTTATACTTGAATAATGGGCATCTTTGACATAGTTATTAAATGAAACCAAGAACAATTTTGCAAGTATTATAATCAGAAAAATAACCATATTTTTTATCATAACACAATTGACCAAAAGATAAAAAGAATACAAGATCCTATTTTACTTATTGCTTTTGGACTATAAAAGTATCTTTTTGGTAAAGCAAAAGTTTATATTTCTGCTTTATGTAACTGCTCTCCAACAAAATTTCTCCCATGTGTATGTTAAAGCTATATGATTCATTGAAAGATATAATAGATTAAAAAAAACCCTTCTTTGCAAGCCCTCTGATCACTAATATCACATGAGGCATAAATTATGAAGACATAAACTCCCTAAAAGTGTTCAACTAGAATCCAAGTTGAAGAATCCATGGTGAAGTCCTCCAGATGTTGCTGTTTGTGGATTTCATTATGCTGAATGCATCTAGCTGATCACTATGAATTCAAAGGATAACTGGTGATCAAGCTCTAGCGTACTGAGGGAAATTCCTGAAGTAACCTTATGGAAGACATAGACAAAGATGGGTAGGCTTGCATAAATTGTCATCTATATCCACATCAATGAAATCACAGATCAACTGCAGTCTAGGTCTTTAAACAAATTGTGGATGCTGTCTATTACATGACTAACCTGTACCATTCTGTTATAAAATTTGAATTCCTTGAATTCCTAATAGCAACTACTTTTATTTGTTATGAGTAAGCAAAAGTAACCTATGAGTAACCTAAGCATCATTTTCTCATCAACACTCATATGTTCATGAGGCTGAAGTGGTGAACAGTTTATTTTTAAAATAAAAAAAAATCTATAACACAAAGATACTTTTTAAAAAATTAACTCAAAGATCCAAGTTTCTCAACTCCCATTTTGCTATGCTAAAGGTTATACAATGAGACAGTGTTGATGACCAATATAATCTGTCAACAATCCTTTTCTGTAGAAAAAAAAACTCAATTAAAAAATGAATAATTGAAATATATGGCATTAACAATGTTGAATATAAAAGAGAAAAAAAGGACAAAATATCACAAGCAACATACCTCTATGATTAACAGGGTCCTTAGCTACATATGCAACATAATCTGTTGTATCCTGGAAGGGAAAAAAAAGGTACAATTTCAATAAAGAAGGAAAGAGGGAAAAAGAAGAAGGGAAGTGAAAAGGAGAGGAGGAGAGAGAAAAGAAATAGAAAAAGGAAGGAACAAAGGAATGAATGGAGGGAAGGAGAGAGAGAGAGAGAAGGAAGGAGGGAGAGAGGGAAGGAAGGAAGGAAGGATTCCCTTGCAAAGAACATTTTTTTCCTCAAATAATTAAACCAATTAGGGCAACAGCTGGCAAATGTTTCCCATCTCCCTCTTACGAAGCTCCTGTCACAAATGTTATTGTTGTTCAGACTATGAATAAAGCATTCTTGTTTCCTAGACCTGAAACTTTGCTTTGTCCCTTGACGTTTTTGCCCCTTTCTCTCCATGGGTAAAGGGGACATAATTTCAGGAAGGTTCCCAGCCATGCTACAGAAAATGCCTGCCATAAGTTTGAGGGTATAGGGTTGGGGAAGGGGGAGGAATCTATTCTATCTCCCAGTGAAACAATTGAAATATTCACTGGACAAGTTAAATTGTTTTCAAGACCCACTGAGGTGAAGAAGGCATAAGATTCAGGGGCAGCTAGGTGGCACAGTGGATAGAGCACTGGCCCTAAATTCAGGAGTACCTGAATTCAAATGCTGCCTCAAAAGCATAACACTTACTTAGCTGTGTGACCCTGGGTAAGTCACTTAACCCCATTGCCTAGCCAAAAAAAAAGGCATAAGAATCAATTATAAAATTAAATATTGTAGCTCTTGTATGAGCCCTTGTTCTCAGAGATTTTTCTTGAATGTTGTAATCTATCCTTGTCCAACAGTCTCTGCAATTCCTGAGCCATACCGCCTCCTCCTACCTAGTTTCCTCTTCTTTCTGCACTGCCCATACTCTGGGACCTCCTATAACTTGAAATTTCTATACCTCGAACATTCCAAACTAGATACTTCCAGTTTCCAAGAATATCAGGGATAGGAAACTAATCAGACTTGTCTGAATAGAACCCTTTTCCTTCCTATAAAAAACCTGGTTTCTCTGATCTGGGTCAACTAGGTGGTGAAGTAAATAAAGCACTGGGTCTAGAGCCAGGAAGACCTGAGTTCAAATCCAGCCTCAGACACTTACTATGTGTCCCTAGGCAAATCACTCTCCCTGCCTCAGTTTCCTCATGCCAAATACAGACCTAGGTCCTACTGCTTTCAGAATTAACTAGCTTATTTAATTCCTTTACAAAGCAACTTTTAGTCCCAGCAAATGGAACTTGACATTGTATAAGAAACTACATCTATATCACCAGTCTATTCTCAATTATTGACAAGTTGATCAAGGAGTCTACCCAGCCCCTTTGCATTTCCTTCTGGATTTTATCAGTATAGCAATAATATGGAGGCTATGATGAGAAAGGAGTAAAACTCTGATTAGACAATCTGGTTTCATCACCAGTCACCATAACAAATGTGAAAGGGATCTGAAGCTGTTAACTAAAACAAAGATTTGGAATTATTATACCTATTGCTCCTAGAATCATAGACATTTAGATGTGGAAGGGATGTTAGACATAATCTAATCCAAACCTTTCAATTTCCTCAGAGTAAAATGAGGTGCAAAGAATTGGTCATTGGTTGATAAATAGCTGAATCTGCTTTAGAAGCCAGGCTTCTTGAGTCCAATGGACTTTCTACTCCATTCTCCTGCCTTTATTACAAATACCTTCACAGAGGCCACTGCAGATTGCACAGCTATAGGGTTCCCCTCCCTCCCAAAGTAGACAGATGAAGAGCAGCCCAGTCCTAGACAACATTGTATCTGGCTATATAAAAAGCTTTTTAAAAGTGTTCTATGTGTAACAGGGGTCATATGAGAATCAGCCTACATGTTCCAGCATGCTGTGTGGTCAAGCCTGACTGAGCAGGAGACTATTTGTGGCACTGGTTGATTATATCAAAGGAAGTCCACAATGGGTCAGGAAGACAATGAAGATCATAGAAAATCAGAATAATACAAAAGTACCACTTAAAGACTCAAGACTGGAGAAGGACAAAAGTTGATCCCACTTTCAAAAAAAAGGAAAGAGAACAGCATCTGCCAAAAATAAGCCAATTAACTTGACTTCAATTTGGGAGAGATTCTGGAATAGATCACTAAAACAATAGTTTGTGTATATCTAGTCAGGAAAATGGAGATTATAAAGAGCTAATATGACTTTATCCAGAGCAAGTCATGCCAGATGAATACCACTTCTATTGTTGACGGTTACTAAACTAGGAGAATAGGAGAATGCTGTACACAGAGTTTGCCTAAGCAAAGCAGCTGATAAAGTCTTTCTTGCTCTTCTTGTAGAGAAGCTGGAGATATGCTAACAAGTACTTTTTCATTTTCGGTACTCATATGCAGCTGATTAGGCTGAGGAAAGTCACCAGCTATGTCTCCTCTTTCCCCCACCCCCTAGAATGAGTTCATTACATCAGTAGTCAGCCGGCATGCAGTGAAAGCTGGAGATTCACCATTTTCCATTGGCTTCCACATGAATAGGCAGCTTGGCTTTTCTGGATGCTTAGAGACTCAGTGGAGCTATTCTGATCATACTTTAAAATTAAAAGAAATTGGGAACCTAGACTTCAAACAGCCTCTTTCACTAGTGTCAGCCACAGCCTATAATAGATTTCACAGGAATAGAAGAGGAAGGGAAAGCAGGGAGTGGGAAGAGAGTGTATTCAGATGAAAACAAGGAAAAAGCAAGGCCATATTTTTTAATTGGTGGATGGGAGAAAGAAGAGAGACATTCATCATTCCTTTCCTTTCACTACACAGTTGGACTGGAGATATGGCTTTGTTTTTCTTCTTTTTCCTCTTTTGGAATGAGTTATTAATGCATTCTATGAAATCCAGGAGGGGTCATGAGAAGGACAGGGAGCATTTAAAAGTAGGATAGCTTCTCAGACTGAAAGGCTGGCCCTGCCTAAAGGTTCAAATACCTTCTCTAGTCTATATCTACTATATTAAAGTATGGCATATAAATGAAAATAGAAAAGTAATTTTATCTCTACAGACTCTTTGGAATTACTCAAATAAATCTTTCAAAACTCTGTTATCCATTTGGTATTAACACAAAGACAATCCTTCTAAGACCTTTGACTCCTCAGCTCAGGTCTTTGAATAAGATTCAAGAATACTGAGAATTGAGTTCCCCAAAAAAGAAAAGAAAAGTAGCCAAGAAGTATCTTATCAAACCAATAAAGATAATATCACATTTGATTTTCCTTTCAGTGACATTGGATACAACTTGTAAAGGAATTTTGTGTTCTCTACCATTGTTATATAGAACAAGAAAAAAAAAATATGCTTACCGGATCACCTCCAGAGGCAAAGGAAATAGACTGCATGTGATGATTTGCTATAATCTGTTAGAAACAAAAAATTTAATATTATTTTCAAATTTATTGAGAACCAATATTTAATAGGAAAAAACTAGAAATCTATTTCATTTCTTAGAAAATTTTTAAAACCTCAAAAGATGAGAAAAGAATATTCCATTCTCAGAATAAGAGATACAAACTGTTAACATACTGCAATTCCTTACTGATATATAGCACAACAATGAGTTCCAGAGCCATTCTGAGAGTTGGTCTACACATGGAATACCTGGGAGTTCCCTTCTCCACTAATATTAGGATGGTTACTACCTTGGGTTGTAAGGGTAACCCTGTGGTCTGCATGTCTAACAAGCTCACAAGCCCCCATCCATGTCCATTACCAACCACTTGGAGCCATCTCCAATTGTCCTGATGTGTATCTGGCCACTGAACCCAGATAGCTCCAGAGGAGAAAATGAGGCTGGTGACTTTTCACAGCCTTCCCTCAGCATAATCCAATTCACTTGCATCTCATGGCACCTCCTCCATGATGTCACGGTCCTCTTCAAGAATGAATGACAAACAACAACCAACCATCTTTGATACATTTAGCTTTTAAGGCATTTACCAAGTTGGAATAGTAAAAATAAAAACTATAAAACATTACTCCCATCTGAGGTCCATACCCCCACAAATACACATTATTCATGGGAAGAGTACACACAAAACTTTGAGGTCAGTGGCAATAAGGCACATTTGTAAGGAGCATATGGGCCAAGACAACTCAAAATCCAGAAGTACATGGCCTAGAAGTCTTTCCTTTCTTTGTTCATTTCTCTCTCTGGCATACAATTGCCAGTGCCAATAGCCCTCTCTTGAGTTCTTAGCCAGCTCCCTTCTTTACCAGAAAAGGGACCAACCAGAGATCCCAGAAGCCACTTTTTCTTCTGAGTGACTGCTTTTTTGTTCATGTCTATCTGGAGTGAATGTCTCTACTCCCTTAATTATACTTCTAACTCTCTCAAATGACTTGATGGGATGTCTCTCTCTGAACAAGTTTCTGGTAGATACCATAGCCTGTGAGGGGAAAATGAAGGAAATCCCTTCTTCTCTACCCTTCAGGGTGTCTTCCACAAAGGACTCTGGAGCCTGTACTCCACCAAACTCATTAACTGACTGCCCTTTGAAGGTGACCCAGGATTGTGCCCATCTTCAGCCAATGGGATTGCTCCTTCTCAGAGGACCAGGGTATAGACATAGCTTTACAGTTAATGTAACACACTTTCTTAACACTGTATTATATTTTGTACTTTCTGGGTTGGGGTAGAGTGAGCAAAGATAAGCTTTGAATCCTGATGAGAACTTTGGAAGAGAACTCATTGAGCATTCTGTTAATCTATGTCATTTTCCACTAAATTGATACTACTTTATCACAAAAATTTTACACTAATTTGAAAGATTGTTATACACATATACACATATATATTATATGTGTGTGTATATGTATATATGTTATTACCATTGTAATATATACCTTAACATGATACCTTAAGAAACTATCAAGTTAGTGGACTTTCAATAATGGATATCAGGAAGAAATTAGAACTCACATACCTGTTTTGAATCAGGTGTCATTAGGTTTAGGCTAGTGGTGGATATATTCAAGGTTATGTTCATCCCTGCAAACTGAAGGTTACTCTTTCCCAGGATGTTGGATAAGACTTTCCGTGGTGGCTGTGAAATCAAGCAACAGTATTTTAGTTTTTTACCGGCCTATGACTATCACAATGAAAAGGCCTCCTGGTGGCATCTAGTTGACGGTGTTTAAATCTAAAAATATATTAAAGCTGAAGTCTATTCTTAACATGGGCAAAGTCTAACCATATCTGTAGATTTACACTTCATCAGAAAAGTTAAGAGAAAAATGATATATCACAGGCAAATGTCACATCAAGTTCAAATGAAATAAAAATGTGAATAAATGTAAAACATGTAAGAGAACAACTTACATGAACTATCAGAGAAGAGTACAAAATTTAAAAAGCTGTGATGGGATGAAACTTTGCTATATGTCTCTACTTGAAATAAGAACAGGCAAAAAATATATATCTAATTCACAAGATTACTATGAGAATCAAATGAGATAATATCTGTAAATATCAAAACTAAACATAGACATGCCATGTGCATACCATGTAAATTTATAAAGTAAAATTAATACAATTCCAAAACAAGGTAAACTGTAACAAAACAGAAAATTTTAAATTGGACAAAACTATTTACTAATTTAAAGCTGAGCATCTTATGATGCCTTTTGAATGTGAACATTAAGGAATGTAGATCTTTCCAAGCATCACAAGGTACATTTATAAAAATAGACTATACGCTAGGGCATGGAGAAATGAAAAATAAAGTAAAAAGGCAAAAATACTAAACAAATCCTTTATGGTCCATAACACAATAAAAATAAGTAATAAATAAGGTAACAAAACAAAATGTAGGACTGAAAAGAGATAACAATGATAGCCTTAAAAATTAAATAAGTTAAATCATATGGATTCTACGAACAAATCATGAAACAATTAATAACTAAGTAAAAAAACTGTAATGGTAAAAAAAACATAGGAAAACCTATTGAAGACAACAGTCTTTAGAGAATAAATAAATATATGAAAATACATTTTTAAAAATAAAAAGGATAATTGAATATGAAATTTTAGAATTATAAATCAATTAATAAACAAACCCCAACTAAACATACACAAAAATTAGAGTAAAAAATGAGGAATTAAAAATAAAAAACATTATGGAATTGATCAATGAAAATATGATTCTTCAAAAAGACTAACAAAATAAATAAATGTTTAGTTAATCTAATTCAAAAATAAAGAGGATCAAATTACCAGAGTAAAAAAAATTTTAAGTGAAATCACAACAAAGGAGATTTTTTTAAATGATCAGAACCAAATAATTTATCAACAAAACTAAGAATTTCACAGAGATAAAGAGTTATCTACAAAAATATAAAACACCAGGATTAACATGATATGATTACTTACTCCAATTTTGGGGGAAAAAACTACTAGGGGGAGGGGAGAGAAACTCTGGTTGAGATTAATTTACAACTGAATTTTGCAAACTGTTTTTAAAAATTAATATTTATATAATGCAAATTATTTAAATTAAATATGAGCAAAAAGACAAATTTTTATTAAAAATATATCTATTATGATTACATTGGATTTACACTAATGAGGCACAAAATAGTTCAATGTTAAGAAAAATATTAACTACAATAAAAAGAAAATGCATCATACCATGTGATTTTATCAATCAATGTGGAAAAGATCTGTGACAAACTACATCATTTTTAATATGATAAAAACTATATATCAAAATCCAAAAGCCTAAAACCATTATTTTAAATGGAGGACCACTGGAAGCTTTCTCAATAAGCATAAGAGTAATGCAGGAATGTCCCCTTTCTTCTCTACTCTAAAAATGCTAGTGATGCCAATAAGAAAAAAGAAAGAAATCAAAGTATAATCTTATGAAGAGGTAATAAAGCTATCTCCTTTTTTGCTGCTTACATGGCAGTTTACCTATTAAAAACCCAGATAATCAGGAAAGAAATTAACCGAGAAAAATAATCACTTCAGTAAAGTAGCAATATACAAAATGTACACACAAAACATCAGTATTTCTACATAACAAGTTAAAAAAATACAGGAAAAAAAAAACAATTAAAAAGGTAAATCCCATTCAAAGTCTACAAAATGCATAAAAAACCTGGGGGTCAATATACTAACACACACCTGAGATATGTATGGTAACAATTTCAAAATTCTTTTTAAAGAAAATTACTTAAGGAATTACTGAGATAATCAGTATTCATTGTTGATCTATATCAATATAACAGAAATTGTGATTACACCTAAGTTAGTTTGTGGACTTAATGCTGTAGTAATTCAAGCAACCAAGTGGATATTTAATAAAGCTTGGCAAAATAATTGCAAAATTCATTTGAAGGAACAAATAGACTAGAATCTCTAGGGAAATAATGAATAATGCAAGACTAAAAAAACAATAGTGCTTTCAGATCTCAGATTCTGCTACAAAGCAGTAATCATCAAAATTATTTAAATCTATTTGAAAAATAGAAAAGTGGATCAGTGGAAAATCCTAAATAAGGAAGATTCACAAATGATTGAATTCAATAACCAAGTATTCAATAAAACTAACAACATAAATCTGAGGCAGTAGGAGGAGCACAATAACCTGAAAAAAACTACTGGGAAAACTACAAAGCAGATTGGCAAAATTTTACTTTAGACTAACAGCTTACACCATGTACTACAATAAGCACAAAATAATTATACTACCTGAATATTAAGGTTTACATAATAAAAATTAGTTATAATAATGGCTACAGGGAAAATTCTTAACCAGTCAATGATTAGAGGTAATAACAAAATGGTGTGTTTTGATCATATGAAATTGAAAAGCTTTTGCATGGACAAAATCAAGACAATTAAAAGAAGGAGAAATTTGTAGGAGGAAAAATATTTGAATCAAATATTTCTGGTATGGGCCAGATCCAGGATACATAGGGAAAAAATACAAGTTGTCAAAGAATATGAACAAACAGTTCTCAAAAAAGAATTACAATTTCATCAGCAATAAATTAATTTACCTGATTGTTTCTCAACTACCCCAACAGCAATGTTTCATTGTTGGGGGTTTTTTGGTCAGTTTGGTAGGTATGAGGTAATACTTCTAAGTTATGTTAATTTTTATCTATTATTATTAGTGAGATAATATTATCATGTAATATATGTTGTAATATAAGGTTAATAATATAATATATTATTATTATTTATATCTATTATTATTAGTGATTATTAGTGAGATTGAACATTTTTTTCAAGCGTTTACCAACAATTTCTGTTTGGTCTTCTGCAAAATGATCACATCCCATGACCATTTATCCATTAGGGACAGGAAATTGTCTTGATAAATTTATAAGAGTTCTTTACATATTTTATATGCCAGGTTTTATCTGTCATTTTTGCTTATAAATATTTTCCCAATGTTCTCTCTTTTTTTGATGTATAATTCTTATGTTATGATTCTCTTAGACTTTATTCTTTATTCTCTCTCTCTCTCTCTCTCTCTCTCTCTCTCTCTCTCTCTTTCTCTAGATAGTTCTACAATTCTCATTTTACTCAAGTGTTCCTCTATGTAAAGTGATTTTTATGTAAGGTGAATGTTCCCCTACCCACCCATTCACTTAGTCTATATAACAAAGTCTATTAGCTTACACTTAGGAGATGGTTCACTTTCCCCCTTAAGGGCACATTTGCTTCCAGCCATGGTGAAAATATAAGGATCACTTATATATAAATTAAGTACAGTATCACTCACTGTCTGTAGATACATGGGAACTTACTTAGAGATGCTTCTTAGCTCACTCACACCATTTATGATGCCTGCATTGTACAACACCTGCTTTGCATAAAGAATTTTCAAAAAAGTTTTTTGAAATGCAGATTTCAGAATTCTTTACATAAAGCCAAATTTGCATAATGTGAATTTATGTAAAGTGAGAACATGCGTGTATAGCTATGGAGAAATTGCCTATGTCATGTAACCAAGTACATCTGTCTTGTCCCAATAATTCTTTCTATTTAACAGAAACAAAGTCAAATCTTGAGTCTTCTGTCTGGCTATTTTTCTGTCTTTTCTGCTAGATCTATATCCTATTCTCTAATTGGGGGTATACTCCAAAGCTCTATTCTGGGCCCTCTCCTCTTCCATCTCTAGGTGACTTCATCAGCTTCCATGGTTTAATTACCATATCTATTCAGATGATTTTCAGATCTATATGTTCACCTCTATCTATTCTTTCTCATGAACTGCAGTCTTATGTCATCAATTGCCTATAAAATATATTTCCAACTGGATATCCTATAAGGATCTCAAAATAACAGGTACAAAACTGTATGCATAATCTTTTTATGTACAAAAACTTTTTACATAATCTTTCTTTCCAAACCCACCCTTTCCCAAGCTTTTTTAGCTAATAATTTCATTGTTAGGAATATACCTTAGGAATGTTAGTTTGGCTAACTAAGCTGCTGATAGAAATTTGTAGGGTAACATTCCTTAGAACCAAAAAAACCCCAAACAAAACTGAAAGGAATTATGTGCTCCTTTATGTATTCAATAATAGGAAATTATGGATTAATGAAATTGTGTAATAATGAATATGATAATATGGTTAAGATCAACCAGTATGGGGATCATGAAGAGATCTGGAAGGAACTTTTTGAAATAATTCTAAATTGGGGGGGGAGAGCAGAACCAAATTAAGGGGTACAGTCTTAACTACCACATATAAACAGAAAAGTAAATGGGAATGTACAAAGAAAGACTATTGGAGACTTAAGGGAAGCAACTAAATAATTAAGACTTTCTGGGTTGAAATTTATTTATTTAAGTGTAAAGGAAGCTGAAGTAGTTATAGTGATGATTAATATTGTTTGCAATAAAATTTAAATTGTTATGCTGAAAAAAATAGAATTACAAGCTCTTAACAATCTCATAAAGCATTGCTCCAAATCTCTAATAATAAGAAAAACAAAAATCAAAACAACTCTTAGGTTTCACCTCAAATCTAATAAATTGGTAAAGCTGACAAAGATGTGAAAAGTCAGTGTTGAAGGAGCTGTGTAAAGGAAGACGTTGGTGCATCTGTGAATTTAGAGTGCAAAGTGAAGTAAGAAGAACTAGGAAAATAATATACACAATGAGAAATAATGTGAGTGGAAAGAACAACAACAAAAATAAATGGAACATTAGGTAATTATAATGACCAAACTTGGCCTTAAAAAGAGATGAAAAAATACACCTTCCTCTCTTTTTTGCAGAGGTAGGAGACTATGGGTATGAAACATTGCATTTAACTATTAGAGTTGATTAATGTGTTGGTTAGTTTTGCTGATCTGTTTTCCTTTCTTCTATTTTCTCATGCTTTGTTAAGAGGGGATGGCACACTGGGTACAACAGGGGAAAGGGCTATATTTAAAAATAAAGTTGATACAAAAACAAAAGTTACCAATTATAATTTTATAAAAACTTAAAATGAGGTCAAACAAGGAAAAAACAATCCTTCTGTGGGAAAAAATAGCTAAAAAGGTAGAAGAAGAGATAATCCATTTAGCACAATAGTGAGAAAGAAAAATTTTTTTAAAAAAGGAAGAATAGTACCTTCTGTTTTCTGAAGCCTCCTTTGGCACCAGGTACTGCTTCACAAACACGGCTGATTGCTTCCCTTAAAAGAAAGAAGAAAAAAAAAGCCTCTGTATCTTAATCATGTGTCAAGCAGAACTATAAATATGGAGATTTTTGTGCTTAAATAGGTACTGGCTACCTAGTTACTTTGTGAGAGACATTACTATCAAGATAAAAGATCCACTAATTAACTGACAGTTAATTGAAAAGGCTCATTGAAAAGCAGATCAAAGCCTCTGTTTAACCATCTCTTAGATTTCCTTAAGTGAATGAATCTCAGATGTCTTATAATATGAATCTGTGTCATATTATATCATCTACTGAGTTTTCAGGTTGGGGGGAGATATCATTTTTTGAAACTAAGACATAGTCTCCATTATGTTATCAGTATATATTCCCCTACCTAATCAACTTCTAATGATTCTTTTTCAAAGTGGGTGAGAACATTATTTGAAAAATATTTACCTTCTCTATTTTATCAATATGCCTACAGGTAATGCAATACTTGCTTACGCAGGCTTATCATCTTCATGCCCTGGTAATTTCCATGGCGACAAAAAATGCAGAGTGTCTTAAAGCATTAGTTTACATAAGGGGAATTGCCAAAAGGTTGTTAAACACCATGCCAAGTGGAGCATTTAAAACTTAGAACCAGCACTGCTTTTGGCATCACACCAAAAAACCATGTGACAGAAGTAAACACAATACTAGAGATGTACACCCGGGCTCCTGTCCAAAATTCCAGACTGGGTGACTGGGTTTAGAGACTGGCAACATCTGAACTTCTGGAAAGCAACTAAACATAAAGAAAACTCTGCCTGAGATGCAGCATGAATAGTAAGCTGGCAGGGCTAATGCTATACCACTTGGCCATAACCTATCTTTGTAGCTTCACTGGACATTATTCCCTTGCCTTCCCCAACACCTTGCACTCTGTGATTCAATCAAATCATTTTTCCTTTTGCACCTCACACCAGACACTCCATTTCCTATCTCTATACCTTTGTATTGACCATCCCATATTTAAATTTAAATACTTACTCACTCCTTACTTCAACCTGCATTCCTCTTCCTTTAAGGTACAGCTCAATCACCATGTATTATAAGAAGCTTTTTCTGATCCTCCTGATTAACAGTATCCTCCCCTCCAAACTACTCCACCTTTAAATACTTTATGTATATTTACATTTCTTAAATTTATATTTATACTGCATATATTTACTCAAGTTGTTGCCTCACACATTAGAATGAATGCTCATTATGAGTATGGATTGTTTCATTCTTTGTATTTGTGTTTCCAGTGCCTAGAATAGTACCTGGCACATAGGAGGAGCTTAATAAAAGGAGGTGTTTATTGAATAAATGATTGCTTGATGGAAGTGACCTTAGGCTACAATTCAGTGCAAGGTGATTGTGAAGAACTCTGAGGGAACTCCAAATGATCTTCCAGCTTCGTGGTTCAGTTGATTAACCAGGAAGTGCTTACTACAACTACAGAACTTAGAGGAAGTATAGTAAGATTGTATATTTCCCCACTTTATGACTGTGATGTTGGAGTTGGGAAGGAAATAAACAGTAATCATTCTCTACCAGTGGTCTTTGGGAGTGTTGGTTCACTTTGCAAAACTGAAATGAACCAAGTTGGGGATTCAGATCTTGATTAGAAAGAGCCAGTTACTTGGAATTATTGATACTATTTTAATATTTTAAAAAATCTCTTAAAATCCAATTTCATGCAACAAATGTGTTTTATAATGCCTGCATGTTTTCTTTTTGAGTGATGGCAAGGTTGGGAAAGAGATAATAATCTTTTTTTTTTTTTGGCTAGGGTTAAGTAACTTGCCCAGGTTCACACAGCTAGTAAGTGTTATGAGTCTGAGGCCGGATTTGAACTCAGGTCCTCCTGACTTCAGAGCCTGTGCTCTACCCACTGTGCGACTTAGCTGCCCCAAGAGATAATAATCTTAATGGAAAAATGAGGGACTTTAGGTCTCTTCTCCAACAAGATGAAGGAATAGATATTTTCTCCAATCCCCACAACATCTCAAACCTTTTCAAAATATATGTGTGCATGTGTGTATGTGTGTGTATGTAATATAACAAGATATAAAGCAAATATAAAGGATACCAAGATCCCAAATGAGGTAAAAACTCCAAAAGTTAATTGTAGAGAGGGCTAATCCCTAATGTCTAACACACTCACTCAAGACCCCCACCCTCCCACTTACCACATAGGCAGTATTACAAAAGCTGACCCACGAACTTGCAGCAGAACTCAACTCTACTTCTCCTTCCTCCCTGTGTCACCAAAAACTGAAAAGGCAAAAACTTGCCCCAGCTAGCACAACTATATGGAAGAATTCTGTGTGTAACAAAGCTCAGCTGTAGAACTGAGGAACAGACAATTGTGTAGCTGGTTCAAATCCACTAAGCTTGTGTGGATGAGTCTACCTCCCAGCAGGTGATAGCTGTGTTCCCCCAAAAGTCAGTTAGGACAAGACTGAGGCTGACAAAAAATGAATTGCACAGTATGGGAGGAGACTGGGGTGGCTTTGAGGTCAATCCCCCAGGAAAACTGTCCTCAAACGGGGAGTCAAAAAAGTGAGCAAGAAGAGAAAATAAGGGAAAAGGGTCAAAATTACCAAAGATCTGAGGGGGAAGAAAACTCAGTTTAAAACTTTGAGCATATACAAATATGCCAACAGGGGAGCTACTAACAATAACAAAAGAGAAAACGGCCTTCAGTTTAGCTTTAAAAAAGTCTAGTCAACTATGAATATTACAAGAAAAAGAAAAATGAGTCAACATCTGGTAAGGCTGAGGAATCTGTGGATTCCCAAAAAAGTACGGATCCACTGCAAAATGTTTCCAAATGGTTTAAAAGAGAAATAAATATTGTGAAAGCAGAATTTATGATCTCAGCAGAAATAATTGGTGTAACATAAAGACATGAACCCACATGTCTAACTAAAGAGAAAAAAAATAACTGACTGGGAATTTAAATACATGGAAGCAAAGGACAATCTGGAAGAATTGAAGCAAAAAAAAATAAATTTAAAAAGAGAACATGATATCCATATAAACAAAACATAATTGACTTCAAAGATAGGATGCAAAGAGACAACTTAAGGATTATAAGTTTTTTGTATGAACATAACAAGTCAAAGAACCTAAACACTGTAATGAAAGAAATAATACAAGAAAACTGCCCCAAACTTCTGAACCCAGAAAAAAAAGTGCCAATGTAAAAAATTTACTGTTTGCCTCCAGAAAAAAAAAATAGTACAAACTCCAAAAAACATAGTGGTTATATTTATCAATCCAATGACAAACAACAAATTCTGCAAACAACCAGAAGGATTTCTAAATATAAAGAAAAGGAAATTCTCATAAAACAAGACTATACTCCCAAGAGAAACCACAGGAAGGGATGTAATTATGTGTTCAGAGGAGCAAAGTATCTCAATAAGCAGTCCAACTAGACATGTTCTGCAAATCTTACTTAGCCTAACCATTTGTTTTAAAAGATAGAAATTCAATTTTTAAAAAGAGGCATCTGAATCACTTCAAGAAGGAAAACTAGACATGAACAAATTATTTGCTTCCAAACCTCCCAGCCAACAAAAATAGAAGAAAGGTAATCAAATATAGTAACCAAGGATAACAACAAAATAACAAAAAAGAACAGTAAGAGATTTCTTTCTAAAAGTACTCAAGGAAACAAGAGTAAAAGCAGAAGATAAATAGAAAGAGACCTGCAACATCATGAACTAAAGCTCCAATTCCCACCTACAGCTGATCAATGTTTTGTGGTAATAAGTTACAGAAAAGAAAAGTTCATAAAAGAGAAGAGGGGAAGAAGATGATGGCAGGAAATGTGATGAACACTAGAGAAAGAAAGATGATATAGATGGTATGAGGCTGCTGTTCATGGTGGGGAGGAAAGGTAGAATCACAGGCAAATAGCAAAATTCCCATGTTGAGTAGGCCCTGAATTCCTTTGTAATAATAGTTCAGTTCTGCAGTAGGGTGGCTGACCACATTTTTTCCAATTACATCACAATTTTGAAGGCATAGAGGGATCAACTGTCAAAACACTTGAAAAGAGAACAGAATTTTTAGAGCTGGAAGGGATCTTATAATCCATCCAGTCCAACATGGGTTGGTGAACAAAATACCTAAAAAATCTCCACTGAGGGAAAAGTCATTCCCTCCTGAGACACGATATTTTGGAAGTAAATTCCTAACTATATTATGCCACCAGAGATTAATATAAAACATTGGAATTGATTATTTCATAAATAGTATCTCAGTGATTGAATACTTCAACATTTCAAGGGTCTGTAATTTCGCTGGTATAGGCACTCCCTCCATAATAGAAGATATGTTACTAGGTGGTCATGGAAAACTTCAGTGTCCAAGGAGCTAATCACCTATCCCTAGCCATCACCTATCCCCAGACCATGAATACAGCTAGACTGGTCCTCAAACTCCTGACTTTTCGAGTTGGAAGGATTCACCAGAATCTATGACTTATGTCCACAAGAAGTAGCTTTTGAAAACTCAGAGACATCTTCACTGGGAACAGGACCATAATGCATCAGAGGAGGACTTAAAGCAGGCAAGAATAATTTACACAAATAAGCAGTTTATTCCCTTGGATTCCCCAGCATAAACTGAATGCAAACACTGCATCACTGATATGTTGCACCTGATCATGGGTAGGTTTTTGGTACTGTTTAATTGCATCTGCCAAAATTTATCTAATATTTTTTCTATCAGTATTCCTTAATGATATTAGTCTATAATGCTCTTTATTAATCTTGTCTTTCCATGGTTTGGGGAACAGAACTATACCTTTCTAATATAAAGAAATTGGGCAGAACACTACCACCTTTCTGTATTTCTGGAAAAAATTATATTGTGTTGGGATTATTTATTTTTGGAATGTCTATTTTCTGAAATAATTCATGAATCCATCTGGTCTTGGTGTTTACTTATGTGTAAGTTCATCAGTGAAATGTGTGATTTCTTTTTCTG